TACTGAGATTACTGAACTTTTTTTCTCAGTAATCTCAGTAATGCCAGTTCTAACGAGCACATCCATTTCTAATATAAGCAATGTCAAACCCCATATTATACAAAAGAAAGGAACGCTGTGGTAACAAAATACATAAAACCCATACACTATCTGATATTCAAGAAGATAAAACCTATACACTATATGATATTCAAGAAGATACGCATCCAAAGACTAGCGTCCACATCGTCCCTTTCTGACACCCTAAAACCCTAAACCCTAAACCCTAAACCCCAAAGCAAGCCGTGGGCCTGAAGGGATGCTCCAAGACTTCTTGAAACGGCTTGAACTCCATGGAGACACTGACAGGGACAGGTGAAACATAGTCTAAACCCTTTCAAGGGGGATTGCATAGGGTTTAGTTTTTTTTGTGTTTGGGGTTTAGGGATTAGGGTTTAGGCTCTAAACTCCTTTAAGGGGGATTATATGAGGATTATATAGGGAACTACTACAGGGGTTATTAACGGGGATGCTAGGAGTTTAGGCTCAGGTGAGGCCAAGCAACTCCTAAACCCTAGATATCCTTACATACCCATGTACCCCTTTTTTTAAACATATCCTTATATACTGAAATACCCCTTTCATACATGTCCTTATAGAACCATGTACCCCTTGTAATACATGTCCCTATATACCCATATATCCCTTTCTATCCCCTATAACCTCTAAACCCTGAACCCTAGCTGGATCGGCTTGGTGCTTCACGGCCATGGACTGGCCTCCTCGCTTGACGGTTTAGTTCTCGTAAGAATTCACGCGAGTTCCAGTCCTGGAACCCAGACAGCGCTGGTCACAGCTCTTGAACTGCAGCTTGGGCTTCTTAAATTTAGGTTCGGATCCTGTGTGGACTTCAAGCAGCAAGCTAATCTGTTTTGGAACAAGGGCAATCCTCGTCCTTCCGCACTAACCTGCCCCGAATGGGATCGTATGCAGCGACCTGGCATTGGCACCACTGACTCCATGCTGCAATGCACAAGTGCGCTTCACATGTGGTTGCCATTGTCACGCCGAAAGGTACGAACAATGCGAGAGCGGAACATTTTCAAACTTTGCTAATCCGGGTGAAACTTCACTTGGGACCCCGCGCCAGCATTCTGGAGCGAGTCTGCCCACAAAGGGGGGCTGGTAGCTTTGAGCCTCCCCAAAAAGTCATCGAATCTTGATTCGGCCTTCGTCAGCCGGGCTGCCGGTAAGAAGAGGGGCCTGATGAGAACGCGAGAGACCGCACAGCCTATTCTGAATCTCAGACTAGGACTACATCTCAGCTCCTTGCTTAGTTCTCGCCCTCTGTGGTGAAGCTTGGCTATGCAGCCTCATGTTACCAACATCGATCGTGCAGACGAGGCGGGGTTGTCTCTCCCAGAGACCACGATAATTTAGACCAGTAGCATTGGCTTAACGGTTGTTCCGAATTGCAGGACATCCAGCACATACACCCAATACAACCATAACAGTACCTGGTGCGTCGTAGAAACCAGGACATGCACCATCATTCATCTCGATGTAACCCTCAACGTAATCGATCGCTATGATCCACTACCACATTGCCTAACACGCACCAAGGAAACATCACCACCCTACCATAAGCCCTGATCACACAACTTTACCTCACAGCATACTGAGCGCACCACTTCTTGCTTCCTGCAGGCTGCATGACGTTTTACAAGAAAGCAAGACCAAATCATGGACGCTAACTTGGGTGCTCAAAACGAAGACTTTATCAGGTCTGCATCGCAAGGGACATTTTTCAATTTGAAATAGAATTTGGCGAGATCGTTCCCCAATCTCTGCCCTTACTTTGAACAACTCATGTCCCACAAATCTGAATCCAAACTGCTACCGTGGTAAGATGCTTTGCCGGTTTTCATCTTTCTTTGTCTTTCTTGCATGGTGCTGATCCTTGTGCAGAGGGTGCTCAAGCTGTAAGGGCCTTGGCTTCTTCTTTGGCTTTTTCTTGGCAGGTGGAGGCACCTGGCAGCGTGGCCGCATCGCAGTGTAGGGTGACAGAGTCATGGTCATGGTGAAGCCTTCTCTTCTAGTTCGGGCTCCTCTGCCTCATCATCTGCAGTGCCTGGCTGCAAGGGTATGGAAACTGACAATCCACCAAACAGTCGGTCTAGCTGAGCCGCTCCTCCATGAACTCTGCGAGTAAGACGCATGCACCATTCCGCTGCCTCCGTCTTTGAGAACCTCGTCGACATCGAAGTCCACTTCCAGGCTGGCAAGCTTCTCCTGAGGACCGCAGGCTGCAAATCTCTGCAGAGCCAAGAGCAGGTCTGGGTGCCGCGGCTTTGAGTTTGCGCTTTTGACGCTCTCGTCGGCTCACCTCTCGTGAAGGATCAGGGCCCTATCACATCTCTGCTCTATGGGTGCCTGCCGCTCTGTGAGCTGCGGTACGGATTGGCCGTCGACCTGACTGCGTAATGCTGCTTGGAGGATTGGCTTCCTTCCTAAGGGCACCTCAACCATCGGCCGATCGTTGTGCTGCAGCATCTCCTTCTCGCGCCTTTCCTTCCGATCGTCCTTCCAGTTCCCGAGGAACCATAGACTCAAATCCTCCCTGCATGCGTATTGCAAGCCGCGGGTCCTTTGGCGGTCTTTTCCAGCCGACAAACATCTTCTTGTGACACTGGCATCATTGTGACAAGTCGTAAAGTCATGTGTGAAGCAGGAGCACCCGTAATACGCATGCGGATCAGTCACACAGCTGAAGCTTAGCTTGCGGCCCTCTCTCTCGGCAGGAACTCACACACGAGGCATTTGTCGAAAAGAAGATACCTGAGTCTTCGTCCAAGGCCAGGCCATTCAAATCTTCTTGCATGTTGATAGAATGCTCACGAACATGCCTAAATCAGAGGAGGTGCTTGTTCATGGTTGATGCCACGATCTTCGCAACACTCTCTTGCTTGAACTCGATGAAGGCATAGCCCTGCCAGCAGCAGCTCTTCCCCCCGAACCCACAGCCCTTGAAAGAGGAAAACGCTTAAAAGCTTCCACCCCAAGGCCCTTAACCCCAAAGCCACTGCAACTCCTTTCCCTCCCCCAAACAAACATGGAACCCCAAAAGGCGCATGTTTGAGACCTTTGTCCTTTCGAGAAGGGGTCTGTATTTGTCCGTGTTACTTGTGTGAAAGGCAACCTCTGGACCCTTCATTGCATCTCTGCAGTTGATGGTTTCTGTTTCCACATGTCTGGGTTGCTGTTACGGAACTTGATTCAAGTTCCTATATTGGGAAATCCTGTTATTTAATATACATATATTTATATATGCATATACCCATGGTAACTTAGTCTAAACCCAGATTTTTACTGTTCCTCCTTTCTGCAAAGGTACCTAACTAGAAAATGTTTGGGAGGTGAATCCTAAACCTTGAACTCTAAGCTCCACATGAAAGTTTCCTGTGTACCCTCATATAGGGTCTGGATGAGCACTGTGGGTATGGTGGGGGGGTTGGGTGAGATTACCCGTAGTATGGGCCTTGGTCTCTCTTGAGACCAACCACCACTCCCACGCGGGTCTGGGCTCTACGGAGATAAATAAGGTTGTCCCGCTCCCTGCTGTGGGACGGGCTTTTGGATTTTTAAAGAAATTGGTAGGGCATTTCTAAGTTGGCGTGGGTTCGTGGTGTTGCCCTCTCAAACATGCTCTCTCTTGCTCTCCTCCTCCCACAACTCTCAACACTATGGCAATTGACTGTCACCCTGCAGCAACGCGCTGTCCTCCCGGTGGAAGCAGCAATTCAGCATTGAATTTGTTTTGGGTGGTTTTCTCTCCCCCTGGAGGACATGCGGCACCATCCCTGCGACTGTTGGCGTCTCCTGGGCTTGCAATATCAAAGACAATGCGAGTTGCTCGGGTCATGAGCAGGGCACCCACCATCCGTGTGATTTTTGACAATGCTGAAATCCGCGACATCAAAAACGCTGACAGTTTCGAGGCTTATGACCAAGACATTCGCCCTCCCTATGAGTGTTGACACCCAGCATCCATGTGAGCTGTAGTCTAAACTCCTAGTATCCTCCTTAATAACCCCTATAGTAGTCCCAAATACAATTCCCTAAATAACCCCCTGCAGGAGTTTTGACTATAGTTCATGTGACTGATCACACTTTTTGACAGGCCTGGGCTGGGTGTCAAGGGACCATACCATGGGGAGGTGAGTCCACAGGCACGGCGACACGAAACTATTCAACCCTATACAACCGTCATATATGACTTATAGTCTAATCCCCTTGAAGAGGGCTATGCAGGGGATTATGTAGGGGACTGCTACAGGGGTTATTCAGGGGGATTCTGTGGTTTTAGACAACGGCTCATATTCCTGTATAACCCCTAACCGTGTTTTGGCATCCTCCAGCCTTCGACCCGCCTGTTTTCCTGGATCGTGCAAGCCGCATCCGGGTGACATGGCCGAATTGAGAGAAGTACCTGGGGCCAATATGGGGATCTATGGGTTTAGGGTGAGGGTTTAGGGGCATAACGGGTATGCAGGTAGGATGTAGGGTTTTTATGCGGATCAATAGGGTTTAGGGTGTAGGGATAGAGAACATAAAAAAATGGAAAAACACACGGAAGTTGCTAACAAATCAGGTTTAAGGTTAAGTGTAGGGAATGCCGAAATCAAATGAACAACATCATGGAAAATCAAATGGATCCTGGCGGACCGAGATTTTATACTGGAAATGATTAAAGGTTGCCAGGAACACGAGGTCCTGTAACAATTCAAGTATTCGACGGTATATGAGGGCGATGCGCTGTTTCGAAAACTCTGAGCTTGAAAAGCATGGGACATACTGACGTGGGGGTTCCCAAAATTAGGGGTACCTTTTTCGGAGTTCCTAGAAGAAGCATTATAGCATTTTTGGGTCCATATGAGCTATAGTCTAAACTCCTGGTATCCCCTTAATAAGCCCTATAATAGTCCCCTATATAATCCCCTATATAACCCCGTTTAAGGAGTTTAGACCATAGCTCATATTGGGGTACCCTTCATTTATGGGATCGGAATCCACCATGCAGGGCTAGCCTTGCAGTCATAATAACAGACCGAAGCTACCGACAGAGGTGCCTCAATGTACGAATGACAGTCCACGATTCCGCTAAACCCTAAACCCTAAATAGTAGTTTCCATTTCTTTTCCATCATCCCCATCTAACCCCAATAACCCCTATATTCCCCCCCGGTTCAAGAAAAGCAGAGTCTTGAAGATTAGGGCCCAGGGATAAAACCCATCTTGCTGCTGGCATAAACATACTTTTCTTCAAATTTAGGGTTTAGGGTTTAGGCTCCTGTTCATCCCCCAAAAAAAATCCCGGCAGAGTGGAATCGCCAAAGCCCGCTCTAGTGACCTCAAAAACCACCATAAAAGGATCCATCGTGCTGAACATGTCTCATGTACTCACGATGCCCCTAGCATCCTGCAAGAAATCCATGCGAGCTATCGTCTAAGCTCCTTAAAGAGTTTTTATTGAGGAGTTTAGACTATAACCCCTATAATCTCCTACATAACCCTATATATAGTAGTTTCCATTTCATTTTGCATTTTCTTTTCCATTTGATTCTCTACTATTAAGGGGGACACTAGGAGTGTAGACTATAACCCCTATAATCTCCT